TCTGGAAACCAGTTTTTGCGATCTCAGTAACTGTTGAGTAACTGGCACCAGTCTATTGTTTAGCAGAATTAATTTCTTCACCTACTTAAATGTTTTTCATACTTTGCCTATAATAATGCTTATTCTTTGACAACAAATGAGGCATAATATAAACAGACCACATAAAGTACACAACTGGAAAGGGCAAACATTACACTGGATGAGGAGGACAATATTTCCACTGATTTTTGCTTTTCCCACTGGGAAAGAAAAAACTTTTCATGAGGGCACCTTTCTTGCCACACCAAAAGGTTGCTGGTATTTGGTAATGATATATTTGTTAAAGGAAATATGAGAGTACTTCAAAGAGTTTGTGGAAAATGGAATTAAAAAATAATTTTATTTTGGTACAAAAATCCATGTTATGAGGGATCAACAACCTTATGAAAAGTGTGTGTTATGAAAAACTATCAAAACAAACATCTTTTAATTCGATTTTCATGAACTTTTTGAAATACCCGTGTACAATCTGGGCAGAGTGTTCTTCAACAGAAATACAAATTGAACACCTACTGTCGCTCCCCCTCTTCATGGAGGAACGACACAGGACCCTGCGCTGTTCTTTCGTCTGCTTGGCCCTCCCCGGGTTTGCTGCTGGTTCTTCCCGGGTTGGCTGCCGTCCCTTCCACCTCCGTGGAAGGGCGGTTCCCCCTGCCACATTCCCCACTTCCGCGGGGGAGCGGCACACCGCCGGCCGGCTCTCTCGGGGGCTGCACAGGTGTTCCTTCAGATAGATGTTCCTGGTGCATGTTGTCTCTCTCCTCCTTTATAGTCCTCTTCCACCAATCCCAACTCTGCTACCCACACGCCGAGTACGCTGCTCTCCTCCAATCAGGAGTAAGTCCTACAGTTTATTGGTTGAACTGGAGGCAGCTGTGTAGAAGCTGTTTCTCCCTTCTCAGCGCCATATTGTGGGAGAGCAGATGCATAGAATAAGTCTTAACTCCAGTAACTTAGTCTAGTCCAAGTTGCTCCCCACACCTACTATGTGCAAAGTTGTGTTCTCTGTACCATTTGTGGAACTGTGCACTAGGTGAGTAAAACAACCAGCTTTCACACACTGCTTCCCATAGCCCAGAGGAGTAACTTGCTCCAGGGAGCACAGACTGTACACGCCAGATCTAGACTAGAGCTGTGGCTTAACTCCACAGTCTGTGTCCCTTTGTCCCCTGTTTGTACTGTGGGACAGCACTGTCTGGGTGGCCTTGGCTGTGTTAAAACCCCCAAGCCAGGTAGTGATGGGCATGAGGGGGTATCCCAATCTGTCAGGTCTTGAGCACCTGTTGGGAATCGTGGCTGAACTCTGTGATCTGGTCTGGTGCTGTGAGTTTCTTTTTCTTTTCTTTTTTTTTTTTAATATGCAGCCACGTCTCAATTGAAACCACAACTTCCTGTGAATGCCTTGTGATGTTATTTGAAGAAGGGAAATCAGCATATGAATTTTTAAAACGTTTCTTCAAGTATATTGATTTTTACGAATGGATGCAATTAGTAGTTCTCATTAGTTCCAAGAATTATTTATCCTGGCAGTACTAAAAGATTGTGCAGGTTCTGCCGCCTTGACCAGTGAGGAGCTGCATGTGACTGGTAGCTTTAAACATGCGCAGTAATGCACGTGTTGATGCTGCCAGCACAAATGGAAAAATGTATTGCTTTAATTTAAAAAACAGGCTGTGTCTAGTTTTTGACTCCCTTTACGTTTTCTCTGAAGAGTCATATTTTCTGGGAGCGTGGTGAGGGAGAGAGCAGGATTTAAGCCTGTTGTTCATCAAAGATCCCCGAAACGATTTTGGAATGTGAACTTCGGTGCTAACTTTTTCAGCCCTCCTCCTCCCATTTGTGAAGGGGAGATAAGCAAAGGAACAGGAAACCTGGAAGATTCTGAAGCAGCTGAGGGTGTAGCCCAGACTTCTCCTGTTGAAACGCAGGTTCTGCTTGGGGCGGGGCTGGCTTGGCGCAGGTGGGTCTGGGGCAGCTGAGGTTCAGCAGTTCTAGAAGCTCCCAGGTGACTGTGCTTTGAGTAGCATGGCTCTCTCACCTTCAGACCTAACCATGTCTTGAGGCTGTGTGGATCCCTGAAACCAGCTGGGGGAGTTTAAGCAACACAGATTCCCAGGGACACACCAGGCTTATTGAATTGGAGTCTCTGGGGGTGAGGCCGGCAGGTATGTGAGAAAGATTAAAAAAAAAAAAAAAAGCTACCGAGTGATTTAGTGGTAACTCTGGCCAGCTTTGTTTATTCGGAGGTGGAGGTGGGGGTGAGGGGGAGTAAGGACAGCTTTGAAAACTTCACTGGAAGAATCAGACCGAGTGTTTAAAGAAAGCCAGGCTTTCTGACATGCTCAGAGCTGCTTCCTCGGCCCAAACTAAAGGAGCAGTGTTAAGAGCCACCCCTCCTTGGGAGGGGATCGACCGGTTTCTTAAGAGTGCATGCAGACCAGCTTAACTCCAAGAGCGTGGAGGAAGAAGTGCTTAATAATTAGCTTGCTGACCTGCCTGGCATTAGATCATGTCTGTGAAGGCTCGGCCGAGTGCGTCCGGGGAAGCCGGGCCCCAAATATGGAAAAGAGAAGTCATGATTATGAGGTAGGAGTTGAAATTACTGTCCTGAGTATTGCAAGTGTAACTTCAGCCCTCCCCTCAGCTCCCAGGTTTGGGGGCGGGGGGAGAGGCAGGAGAAGCTGGCAGAACGGGGGTCGGTGATGATCTTGTTGGGAGGAAGTACAGATGGGGCGGCTGCTGCCTCTCCTTCCACAGTAGGACTTTCTTTTTCGGTCACAAACTCCCCCAGCAAGGGGGTCCCCTAGCTGGGGGACACTGATCGTGGCAGCCCTCTTCTCCTCTGTCAATTTGCAGTCTCTTCAGAATCACGTGTCGCCTGGTGTTGCCTCTGTGGCTCTTCCTGTCACCCCCCCACACCTTGTCAGAGGTTGAAAAATTAGGGAAACCCCTCGAAAACCAGAAGTTGGAACACTCCCTCTCCTTTTCTGAGCCTAGCCAGTGAGAAACACATTGTGTATTGGCCTCGGGAGCTTCCACATCAGGGAGGGTTCGAGCAGAGCCCAGCGCAGCACGAAGCATGTTCCGGATGACGGATTTCTTGCAGGTGCCACTTGCATGTCGTGGGCGCCCCTGGAGCAGGCTGTGTCCCTCAGTGCATCTGAAGTCACTGGGAAAGTGGGTGTGGGTGAGCGAGGGCACTTGGAACTTGCCCTTGGCTCTCACACTTCCCACCTCAATGACAGTTTCTTCAACTGAGACTTGCCCGGATGAGCGCCCGCTCCCACGCAGCTTTGAAGACAGTTTTAAAACTTGTCAAGGGCCCCCCTCACTGGTTTTTCATATTTCCAGAATGGTGTAGCCATCACCACGATCTGATTCGCAAACATTTCCCTCACTCCCAGAGAAACCTCGTGCCCACTTCGGCAGCTAGCTCCAGGCAACCGCACATCTTTGTAATTCCTCCTTTCTCTGTAACAGTAAGGGGTTTTCTGTGAGTGTATTATTTACTTTAAGGAGTCTCTTTGCCAAATTACAAAGTCTTGCTCTTGGCTCCTCAGTCTCTGCTCGGCCCCTCCCCGTCGGCAGGCTTTACCTGTCTGGGACCGTCTCAGACACAGGTGTTTGTTATCTCACATAAGTGGGAGGCTAGAGGCAGGGTGGACCCCAGGGCCAGTGTCATCAGCTGCCTGATGTGACCTCAGAAACTCGTGTTCTCCTGTTGGAGGCAACCACCAGTGCTTCCCGTAGGATGTTAACCAGCCTCGCCTCTCGCTTGTGAGCCTTTCCTGTGTTAAACACAGGCAGAGTGATCCGCTGCCTTTGAACCAGTTGCCCAATCCCAGCTCCAGCTGGCTGAGTGGTAATGGATGTGATCAGCGGTCTCACCAGGCTGGGGAGCGACTTTTGAAGCTGACTGTAGATTTCTGTCTTTGAGAAGTGTTATCGATTCAGATCTTGCCACATTAGGAGTTTCTCATAGTTGCGTCAGGAGTATTTCAAAGTTTATCTTTGGAAAGGTTAAAACTGGGGGCAGTATTGGCGATGGTGGTAACGCTAACATGGGTGGACAACAAATTACTTAAGTCACATTAGAAAAACCTGGGGGTTGGTGTTGTGGTGCAGTGGGTTAAGCCGCTGCCTGGGATGCTGGTATCGCGTATCGCAGTACCAATTCGAGTCCCAGCTGCTCCGCTTCTAATCCAGCTCCCTGCTAATGTATTTGGGAAAGCAGCAGCTGCCACCCACAAGACCCTCAAGGAGTTCCAGGCCCCTGCCTGGCCCAGCCCCAACCATGGCGGCCATCTGGAAGATTGTCTGTCGGCCTTTCAAATAAAAATAAAAACCTGTTTGCATTAGGATAAAAATGTTTAAATATATGGACTAGTAGCAAGTAGAAAATCATTCTTATCTAGATGTTAAGGTAGCCCCTGGAATCTCTGTTTGGGACAGAGTAAAATCCTCTTCTCAATGTCAGTATTCAGGTTACTGTATGAACTTGAAATGACCAGAAATCGACTGTTTCAAATATAATTCACGCTTCACCTAAGCCAAATAGGCACTCTGCCAGTTGTTTGGACTTGACTAAATCCTGTGTTATATGTAATAAAAAAATCAAGGTAGGTCTCTGCTTTGCAAAGGAATCTGCTAGATGCCGAGCTGCGTGTGAGAGGCTATTTCAGGGCACAGTTTGGCCACATGTCGGTAATGAGCCTTTGCTGGGGCAGCCCTTCATGGTGAGAGGACGGATGTCGAAGCAGGCAAACACCATATGCCCTTTGTTTCCCGTGCGGGTCCCCTTCGGGAGGCTGGGTGGAGTGTTTCAGCTGTCTCAAATCATCTCCATTTTGCTGTTGCTGCAACTGTGGTTCTCCAACTCTCCTCTCTCGGATGTTAATTATAACTCTTTCCTAATTAGGTGGCTCTTCCTCCTCTTTGGTCATAGAGGTTCCACACTCTGAAGTGCTAGAGGTTGGATTAATTTTGAAAAATGAGTTTCGGTTGATTGGTGACAGAAAGAAGTGCAAAGAATTCGGAGTAAGAAACCACCCCAGCAGTGTGAATGTGTAGTGGGAGGGGCAGGCGGCTTGGGTATGGGACAGGATGCTTAGAATAATTCTGCTGCCAAGTGAATCAGAGAGGCTTGCAGTTCTCGGCGAGCACAGAGCTCACTTCTGCCCAGAGCTCGGACACGGCCAGAAATCACCATTTCATACTCGGCAGAATGGAACTTCCAGCAGCCCAAGCCCCGAGTGCCGTAGACGTGTCTGAGATCGTAAGTAGGCCCTACGTGTGTTTGGGTTGTTTCTCTGTCTGCACCGTTGGTGGCCTGTCGCCTGCCTACTTCATAGGCCAGGAGGGAGATGTGATGGGGAGTTTGTTTCCAGCTCCATTCTTCCCAGCCGGTCGCCAGCACCAGTTCCCCCTTGGACCTGGGTCTCAGTTTTCTTGTTGGTGGCAGCAGGAAATGGCCTTCCCCAAGTCCTCCTCTGCAACAGAAGTGGCTTTTTTGGGCTGAGTTCCTTTTGCCGTGGTGTCTATGCGGAGTTGGAACAGCCCGCCGTCCTCTGGTTTGGTCTGTTTCCTTCTCAAACTGCCTGAGTCAGCTGTGAGTTTTCTCCAGGGGATGTTGCTCAGGGACAGCCCCGTGCAGCCGGGAGAGATCCCCATGGGGTTGAGGACAGGTAATGGATGCTTCTGAGGCCGCTGGCATCTTTGGCAGGCTGGGCTGAAACCAGGTGTGGGATCCAGCTTTGCTGTGCGCGGAAGAAAGGAAGGGAGGGGGAGATGAGAAGGAGCCGGGAGGCAGTTTGGGATCTGTCTGTCCTGTCGCTAGGTGCCAATGCCAGTGTCGGGGGAGGCCCCAGTCCCCACTCCCCACTTGGCTAACTGGACTGTTGGGCCACTGGAGAGAACCATCTCGGCACGTCTGTTTTCCCCATCTCAACAGTCTCGATCCTAGCCCTGCATAGCACTAGCACTGCTGGCTTGTTTGAAGTAGTGACTGTGAAAGCGCTTGGCGTTTGGTCACTCTCCCTACCTCCTTCTCCCATGGTACACTCTGCTGCAAATGCGGGCAGGGTGCTGGGCTCTCTGAGACATTTCCTTTGTTGCTGTCCCGGCTTGTTTCAGGGCTTGTTGGTGACCTAACTTTGATTTTGAGGTCAACCTGCTAGCCTTGCTGAAGTCCGTACACACAGTACCCCTCTGAGTCCTGGCCAGGTGACCACCCCCCTAAAAAAAAAAAAAAAAACATAAGGTCCTGGAGAGAGGGTGTGAGTGGCTCAAGTTGATGTCTTTCAAAGTTGAAGATGGTGGGGCCCAGGGACCTGAGTCAAGGGCCGTGTTGTGGGTTCTTAAGCGAGAGTGCGAATTCAGAAGAGCCGTCTCTGGTTCAACCTTGAACTTCTGAGTTAGGAAGTGCTGCACTCAGGTGGTGTGAGCGAGAGGGAGAAGAAAAGACCAAGCTTGATGAAAACTGCTCTCCAGCTCAGCAGATTTCTGACTCAGAAGCAGTTGTGGAAGTGGGCGCTCTCATTAACCCATTCATGAGTGGAGGCACACTATCAGTGTCTGTGTGTGTGTGTTGCGTGTTTAGCGCCTGCCTTGTTAATTAACTTTACTCTCTGCTTTATGTTTGCTGGCTGTGAGTTAATTGCTAATGATAGTGTTCCCTTGCCAGTCACAACTTGTACCACTCATTTCCCCCGCTGAATTCCTTGTATTTCATCTCATATTTAGGCTAACATCATTTGCCTTTAGCTAGCAAAACTCCTTGATAATTGTGTATTGGCAAGCTCTTACACAATGTTATAGTCCTTGGTTCCAGAGACGTCATATCATCGGATCGCTTTGGCAGATGATGGTCTAAGTGTACCTTTTATCTTAACCAAGATGAAAGTAACGCATTGCAGTGTACAGTGAACCAACCTTCAGAAGTTCTCTGTTAGCCTTCATTGAAATCCACTTTTTTTCCCATGGCTGGCTGGGCCTTCTAAGGTCTGGCTTTTCCCTCTTTTGTCGGCCTCGTCAGGGTCACCTTCTCACTAAGCTCATACTCTGACACTCCAGACTGCTACCCCCGCCTGCTCTTTGCCAAGTGCTTTCCTGCCTCCGGACCAGGCACTTGAAGTTGTCGCTGTCAGGAACGGCCTTTCCTTTTCTCCTTACTTGGCTGGATCTTTGCCATCTTTCAGGTGCTACTCTGGCCACTGTCCTAGGCCATGTTACTTTAGGACACTCCTCCTCTTAAGTTGCCTTTGTGCCTTCCCATCACCGTATCCTATTTCTTTCTTGCAGAGGACTTCCATCACAGCCTGTGACGGTTTTGTTGCCTCGTAGACTGACTTGCCACTTACTGGCTCCCCCATTAGGATTTCAGCTCTGGGAGGGCAGCGCTGTTGTCTGAATCTCACTGTATCCCCAGCCCCTGACCCAGTCCTGGATGTGTAGTAGTTGCTCAACAAATATTTCTGGACTAAACAGTCACTTTGGATAATGGATACAGCAAACAGCTTTGAAGTAGCTTGGGACCACAAGCTGATAAGGACAGCTGCGTCTCCTCTGGGCCAGCCCCTCTGCCCCATCTGCGTGTGTCCATGCTCGGTCACTCTGGGAGCACTCCACACCCCAGGGTTCTGTTTCTCTGTCTTGGCAAGCCCTGGCTGCAATCCGGAGTCACCATCTAACTGTTTGAAGCATCATTTTTGTTCTCAAAATGAAAACCACCTGTCTTCCAAGTGATCCCTTTAAAACAAATGCTTTATTTCTCTACCGAGGCCTGCTTCCCCCTCTGCCTTTCTCCACAGCCTGCCAAGAATAATGGGAAAAACCCTATTATCTTGGAAAGTGGTTTTCCCTCTGGTCGGAATCCAAAGCTGGATGATTTATCACCAAGTGTGCTGGGGCAGCAGCTTTCCCTGCCCTGCTGGCAGCTCTCAAGCCTTAGAGGTGTGTCCTGGCGCCTCAGCAGGCGCATGCGGCCGCTCCCCCAGCACTGCCCTTCTCCGTGCCTTTCTTTGGAAGTCCCTTCCTGCAGGTAAAGAAGCTAGGCCAGGGTGCCTTGTCAGTGGCAGCGGGGCTGCAGACAGTGTTTAAATGGCACTCCGTGCAGGACTGCTCTCCAGCTCACCGACTCCCCCGGTTCTGGGGAGTGGATGATAGATATGACTCCCATTTTACGGATTGCAAAATGAAGGCTCACGGAAGACAGGGGACTTGTTCATAAGCTCATGGGTTGTAACCTGCATAGATAAGAATCCACATCTGTCTGACTCTCAAATTACTTCCTGGTGTGAAGTGTTTCTGAGACTTTTTTTTTTTTGACAGGCAGAGTTAGAGGGAGAGAGAGAAAGGTCTTCCTTTTCCGTTTGTTCACCCCCCGAATGGCCACTACAGCTGGCACGCTGCACCAATCCGAAGCCAGGAGCCAGGTGCTTTCTCCTGGTCTCCCGTGCGGGTACAGGGCCCAAGCACTTGGGCCATCCTTCACTGAACTCCCGGGCCACAGCAGAGCTGGACTGGAAGAGGAGCAACCAGGACAGAATCCGGCGCCCTGACCGGGTCTAGAACCCGGTGTGCCGGCGCCGCAGGCGGAGGATTAGCCTAGTGAGCCGCGGTGCCGCCCCTGAGACTTAAAAAACAAAACAAAAAACCCCACACTCTGTCCTCTATTTAAAAACAGATCTGGCAGCCTGGCCCACATGCACACATGTATACACATACATTTGACTAAAATAAGTTTCCTGAAATGGTAGTTGTCTTTACGTTTTTGCGACGCCCTCTAATAATGCTGGTCAGGACCTTCTAGATGGATTATGTGGCCCGCTGAGTGGTGGCAACCCAATCTAAAACAATTTCAACAACACTAGTATAGGTAATGTGTACATCACGCTTACTTTCTATAGATGTTAACGTGGTGTAAGTGACCCTAAAATATTTTTTCCTAAAAAAATGTAGTAAGAGTACAGCTTCTTGGATTTTTGCAAACTGACCATGTGCACGTAACCAGCACCAGCTCAACCTCGTGCTGTTGACCCCTGCTTGTGTGAGTCCAGACAGTGGCGTGGATTACAGCAGAAGCTGGGAGTCCGCCTGTGTGCGCTCAGTGCTGCACGTTCATCTTGCTGGGTAGGCTCTCTGGTTTTGCAGGTCCGTCTTTTGCGTTTGCGGCATTGGCGCCTGGCTGGAGTTTTAGGCAGAACAACTGCTGAAGGAGTGGAATGCAGCCTCCCTCATGGTTGTCAGAAATTGGCACAGAGGCCTGACTGAGGATGTGCCTGGTACAGTGTGAACGAGGAGGAGGCAGAAAGGGCAAGGCCCCACCAGTTTGCTATGGAAACGTCTGGGTGTGAGGATTTATGATCATAGTCATTGAGGCCAACATTCCTGGAATGAGAGGGAGGGAGAATTTGGGGGGGGGGGAGAGGAATTTGTGGTAGAGTCCCAAGCTCCTAGAGGTTAATGAACATCTATGTAAAATAAGGAGCATCCACCTCTCATGGTGAGTATTGATTCTTAGAGAAAATTGTTTAAGCATGCTGAATTAAACTGCCTTCTTCTTGGCAAAGATACACTGCATCTTAGTAGAAGAGCAAGCTGGGTTGTCTTGCATTTCATAGTGTATAGGTTCTGTAAGTCTATCTCGAGGGACACAGTGCATATAATTTGTTGTAATGAGATGTGTGTAGAAATGAGGAGGAGCTAATACTGTAATGTGCTTATCACAGAGTGCTGTTATGTTTTATTAATTAGTGCCCTCTTGAAATTCTTTTTTTTTTTCTTTTTTAAGATTTTATGTATTTGAAAGGCAAAGTTACAGGGAGGTGGGGAGAAACAGAGTGAGATCTTCCATCATCTGGTTCACTCCCCAAATGGCCTCAACAGCCAGGGCTGGGACAGGTCGAAGCCAGGATCTAGGAGCTTCTTCTGAGTCTCCCATGTGGGTGGCAGGAGCGCAAGCACTTGGGCCATCCTCCACTACTTTCCCAGGTGCGTTAGCAGGGAGCTGGATCAGAGGTGGAGCAGCCAGGACACAAACTGGTGCTCACATGGGATGCTGGCGCTGCAGGCAGAGGCTTTACCAGCTGGGCCTCAGCACCGGCCACTTGAGATTCCTTTGTAAGTAGCATTTAGTCAGGCTGCACTAGCTATCGTGAATCCGGGACTTTGGGAAAATAAATCCCTTTGTGTTTGCTGATTAGATAAGCTTGTATTCATTGTTCATTTTTGTAAAGGAGACTTTGGTGTGAGTTTCCTGAGCACTCCTGACCTGTG